CAGCCAGTACACTGTCCCCGACATCACTCATGTCCCCAACAGCCCTGTTTTCCTCAACCAGGTCCCCAAATTCTCGGAGCATGGGGGGAGGGTGACTGCTTTGAGGAGTGAGTGCCGGCAGCGATGCTGGGGGATGCCAATCCCTCCTGGGCGTGGTGTCATCCCCCTTGCTGGACCCCAAGAGGACACAGGGCAGGGTGGTGGCAGTCCTCCTCACTGGGCTGCCAGAGAGTCCCAGGGAGCCTTCACAGGAAAGTCCTATAGAGGTTTTGGAGGAAAGTCCTCCACAGAGTCCCCTGAAGGGTTGCCCAGAGGGTCCTCTGGAGGGTCACACAGAGGGTCCCCTGAAGGGTCCTCAGCAGAGACCCCGAGGCTCCCCTGAAGCTCTTCCGCAGCCAGCATCCTTCCAGCCAACTGTCTAGCAGGTTCTGCAGGCCCCACGCTCTCTGGGCAGCTCCAAGACCAACCATCCATGTCAGCTCAGCCCAAAAGCCTTGGAAGGGTCTCCAGCAGCAGCCAGATGGCTGAGCTTTCCTACTTCCCGGGGTCACACAGGGGACTGGTGCTGATGGAGGAAGAGGAAGAGGAAGAGGAGGAGGAGGAGGAGGAGGAGGAAGAGGAGGAGGGATAGGTGCTCTCACCTTCTCCCACCTCATCTGAGGAGGAGCTACAAGTCGCAAGTTATGAAGTAGGGAACTTGCAGGTTAGAAACTCATGACACAAGCGATGGATGAATGAGTTCAGGAGCTGGATGCATCTGTGCAGACGGAATGAAGACCTCCATTCATTTCCTACAAGCTAGGAAATTAAAGCTTAATTTACAGAGTACATTGTCCTGTAAATTGGAGAGATGCAAATGGACGATGAGAAGGGACATGGGAACACAGGCGTGGGGAGGGTGTCGCCAGGGACATGGGGGAAAGAGGAGGAGGTGGCTGGGGACATGGAGTGCACAAGGACATGGGCACAGGGCCACAGGGGGATGGAGCGGGGGGAGCAGGCAGGGACAGAGCAGCGACAGGGGGCTGACGTCGGGGTGGAGGCTCCCACCGGGGGAGCTGCCCCACATGAGGCCTGAGGGCCCTACTGCTCCCAGGCCGGGGGGAAGTGGGTGCTGCCACCCCCACGGCCACCTCCTCCCCAAGGGCAGGACCCCAGCCCAAGTCACGGTGACCCCACAGGGCTTGGTGTTGGGGCCAGTTCACTTTAACACTTTATCAATGATCTGGATGAGGGGGTTGAGTGCACCCTCAGTAATGTGAGAAACACCGACTCACATCTTAGAATTTAAAGAGGACAAAGTCACCGAAGCAAAGGTTAAAAAAAATAATTTATTAATACGAAACAGCGCTGAATCGGGTGCACCAAAAATAGATGCACGATGATCTTTTAGCTTTCAGGTATTTTATACCTTTATCCCGGCCGCTTGAGTCTCTGTCTCTCTTCTCATTGGCTGAGAAGTTGGAGCTCACATTCTTCCCGACCGCTTGACCTATTACAGGTTTATTTTGCACTTTTTCCCATATAAGGCACACATGCACCTATTCTACGAAATCATCATCTTAAACATGCCTTTGATTAGTTGATTATGCTACACATTATTTCAGAGTCTTTGCTACCATCTACTTGGCAGATTTACCAGACTGGTTTCTTTGGCCTTATTGATACTCCCCTACCCTCTGGGTTCTTGTGTCGAAGGCCGTGTTCCAGTCTGTTTCTCTTCACCTAGATAACGCTCTGCGAACAAGGATCCCTTGATAGACCAAGGGCATTTTTGGGGATTAATTGGATACAATTTATTAGACCCTACTATTACTAAGGCTTCTTTGTTAGTACTATCACACTAACAATGATACATCAATAAGCTGAAGCAAAACTTAGCTTATTTCCCACAGTAAGTTTGCAGATGACACCAAGTTGGGTGGGAGTGTCCACCTGCTGGAGGGTAGAAAGGCTTTGCAGAGGGATCTGGACAGGCTGGATCGACGGGCCGAGGCCAATGAGATGAGGTTCAACAAGGCCAAGTGCTGGGTCCTGCCCTTGGGTCACACCAACCCCCTGCAGCGCTACAGGCTGGGGGCAGAGTGGCTGGAGGACCTGGGGGTGTTGGTCAACTGTCGGCTGAACATGAGCCAGCAGTGTGCCCAGGTGGCCGAGAAGGCCAACGGTATCCTGGCCTGTGTCAGGAACAGCGTGGTGAGTAGGACTCGGGAGGCGATGGTCCCCCTGTACTGGGCACTGGTGAGGCTCCACCTTGAGGGCTGTGTCCAGTTTTGGGCCCCTTCCTACAAAAAAGACATTGAGGTGCTGGAGTGGGTCCAGAGAAGGGCAACGAAGCTGGTGAGGGGTCTGGAGCACAAGTCTTGTGAGGAGAGGCTGAGGGACCGGGGGTGTTCAGCCTGGAGAAAAAGAGGCTGAGGGGCAACTCTCTCACTCTCTCCAACTCCCTGAAAGGAGGGTGTAGCCAGGGAGGGTCGGTCTCTTCTCCCAAGGAACAGGCGATGGGACAAGAGGAAATGGCCTCAAGTAGCGCCAGGGGAGGGTCAGATTGGATATTAGGAAAATTTTTTACATGGAAAGGGT